AAATAAGAACGTGCGGAGATGTTTTGATTGTTGGATACCGGTCTTGGGAAGCCAGACAATTCTTTCCAAACGTTTCAACTTTTCTGCAACATAATTAAATAAAACTTTCACAACATTGCCTCTAGAGCTACAGTAAAAGTGTCACATTTTCGTCTCTAGAGCTACAGTAAAACTGTCACATTTTCGTCTCTAGCTCCACCTCAAAGCCGTCATTGACAGAGCTGGTCTTCCCCTCTGTTGCCTTCTCGCTGCCTCTATCCAAGAGCCTGTCCTTCTCTTCCGTCACATTTATGTCGTCCCCACTCTCGTCATCCTCCTCCTCCCCATAACTCTCGTCGTCGAAGTAGACCATATGCTTCGCGCTTGGAAACTGGACGTTATACGTCCACAACGACGCGCAGTTGAGCCACTTCCGAGCTTTTCTAGGCATGCAACAGCAGAGATGTTTGTGGACAGGGTAGATGAGGCGGGAATCAACGCACGAGTCCGTCGTCCACCCTGTGAAAGCGCTGACGAGGACTCCGGTGATGATAGAGATAATGACGGCGAAGGTAGGGTACCAGAGAAAGGAGAGTTTATAGATGAGTTGGAGCCCACTCACGTCTGTTACGTCATCCGTCTGCGCGTGTGTGGGGTCCACCAGGGGCTCCGGGGGTACGGGAGTGGCGGAGTGAAGGTTCAGGATGGAATTGAAGATCTGGCTGGTGTTTGTGGTCACAGCACAGCCCTCTGTGCTGAAGGGTAGTGTGGGTTGAGGGACCTGGTTGTGGAGGGAAACAGTACAGGCACAGTGACTAATGGAGCCAGAAACTCGTAACACATGAAAAACCCCCCAAAACAACCAAATAGTTAATAATCCGATAAAGTATTAAATCAATCCTCCCACCCCACTCCTTTGTGAACAAAGTTGAGAAAAAATTTAAACATGTCAGAACTTTCATTCGTAAAGTTAAAAACGGTTGTCGCGCTTGACATAACCGAGACCTCGACGAATACTCAAAGCAAAAACAAAAATAAATAGCATTTGTATAGCATAAATCCTCGTTCAATAGCAAGCTCTATGCTTTTTATAATCTATATTATTACCGCAGCAGACTTGACAGCAATCTGAAACAATCTCAACTTTCTGAGAATCTTACAAATCTAACAGGCGGATACAGTTCCAAACAGATAACAGAGGGCTGACGCAGAGTGTTTATCTGTGTGTTCGCATGAAGGCTTCATAATAACGTTCTTTATCCGTCTGATTTTCCTTTTGAGTATTAAAGACAGTGTAGCTCAGATGCTTCAGTTTTAGTAGATGTTTTACGGCGCTCGCAGCTGCATTAGGTCATAGGAGCGCAAAGGGTTGGATGTCAACAGAGAAGTCCTTACAGGGAATCAGGCTTACTCCGCTCACCTCTCTAGCTTCAACAGCACAAAGTCTGTTTCGACAATCAAGGCACCCCGGAAATAGCAGGTCTCAAGAGTGTGAGAAACATACAAAAGAAGTAGAGAGGAAAGAAAAAGCATCAGTTCCCTGTTGCAGTTCAAGCACAGTTATGAGCATGGCATTGATGAATCAAGCCCTTTTACAATTTACAGTTCTACTTTGCATAAGAACATATTAATGTCCCCCCCTTTGGGAATGGCCTAAAGACACTTCAGTCCGTAGAACTGCCCCGCGGGTTGTAGCTCAGATGTCCCTACCACAACTTACACAATCAGATGCACGTGTCAGTACAAACGTGTGTGGCGAAACACATTTTATGATGGCTTTTAAGGACAAGCGAGCTAACCCAGATTTCAGAGGTTTCCAGAAATCTTGACCTACACCAAAAGTGGGCATTGCCCCACCTATAGGAGAAGTTTGGTTTTATTGATGTGTATATATTTGTTTGGTTATAAAGAAAACTCTCCTTGTCTTTTAAAGAAACTGAACAAGATGCAAAAACATTACCTTCGATTTTCTTTTAAAAAAGCATTTTACGGAATAGCCCGTTGTGCTTAAAAGCGACCAAATATTATGTTAAGACAAAACAGTTGGCGAATAGTTTATCGGCGAGTGATGGAGAATGACAATCAGAGAAGCCTACAGTAAAAATCATCATCCAGCGCCAGATCTGTGGCAGACATCGGCGATCATGGTTCTCCATTCATTACTTTGCTCGGATGCTCTTAAAAAAGCTATGTTTCCCTTCTTTGTTCTTAGGAGATTACAGCAGTGGTTTACCGTTGCTTACTGCCGGTTTGCGTAGCGTCTCTCACAGCAGCAATACAACCCATAATTATTCAGTAGTGTGTCGCTTAATTTCATGGTCCACAACTTAGCTACAAAACCGCTGTTCGTCAATTGTTTTATCGTAGTGCTGTAGTAAATAGGTCTATGATAAAGAGGCACTATTCATAACCTCTTCAGCCTTTCAAACTCCCCCCCCCATGCCGTGGCACGCAAAAAACGTGAGTTTAATTACTGTGTGGAAAGTACATGTAATTATTTTATCGTATCGTTCAATCAGCCTGGGTGGGTCCTGAGAGACAGGAACGAGCGAGCGCGCCAGCAAAGTTTAACCCTATCCAACGACGTGTTTTACTGTCGTATCTATACAACGTGGGGAATTCTGTGCCACCTTTTTCCAAAGCGGAAATTTACTCGTTAATTAAAAAATTAATCCGAACAGTAGGCTTTGTTTAGCAGTCTGTCAAACTGATTTTATAAAAAGAAACACTGAAAGTTTCAAAAAGATCTTTGTACTAGAAGTATTCTAAAATGTAAAGAATACAGCCCCGGGGACACAAAATTACCCCAGGGCGTACGGATAGGGTTAATGAATTGTGTTGATTGGGAAATAAACATTTTACTTCTTCAGAGTGTAACAACGTTCTACATTCTATGCCCAGCTACGTTGGCAACAATTGGCAACACTTTGAATGGTGCTAGAAGCTTCTGTACTCGTTAAGTTGGTATCAGTAGTCTAGTGGTTAGACTACTGGACTCGTAATCATGTAATTGCAGGTTATAGGCCCCACTAGTGCTGGGCGGTACCGGCGAAACCCAGTGTCGGTACTTTCTCGGTACAGGGAGCTTAGAACCGCCAGTACCGGT